TAACACTTGAAAAGTTCTTTGAAAACTTACTATGGTATTATTCCGATGTAACGCTAAACCACATTTTCACAATACAAGAGCTAAGCCCAAAGCTTGGATTCATCCACTGTTTCCACCTTTCACACACAATGGCACAAATCATAAAATATATGATTGTTGAATTCAAAATCCCTTAAGATTTGTTGTTAAAATAGGAAAAGGAAGAAGAAGAGAGGGCAAGGGAGATGATGAAGACTCTTGAACACAGGACTTTGAATGGTAATACCGCGTTTCCCCGAAAGTAAGGCCTACACCAACAATAAGCCCTAGCTTGATTTTGGGGGGTGAGCCTAATACAAGCCCTATCCCAAAAATAAGCTCTAGTTTTGGGGTGAGGCACACACCTAAAAATCCAGCTAGGGCAGGGGTCGGGGAGGTGGAGCTGCCCACCCATCCCGCACCCGCTTGCCTTGCAGCCAGGCCTCTCCTTGCCGGCCCACTTCTTCTGAGGCCTCTTCTGCAGCCAGGCCTGCATTTTGCAGTCACAGAGCTTTCCAGAAGGCCTGTACAGCCAGGAACCAAGCTGTGGATTCAATCCACAGCTCGGTTCTGCAAGACCTCTGCTTAGGCCTTCTGGAAAGGCCTGACTACAAAATGCAGGCCCGAATGCAGCTGCAGAACTTTGGTCCCAGAAGAAGTGGACCGGCTGGGTGGAGCTGTCGATGCCAGAGGTGAGGTAAGGCCTACCCCGAAAATAAGACTTGGTGCTTTTTTGGGAGGTAATAATAATAATAATAATAATAATAATAATAATAATAATAATAATAATAATAATAATACCCAGTCTTATTTTTGGAGAAACATGGTATTAACTATGGACCTCCAATTTTACTGAAAGAGCAAAAGGCAGGCACACATAATTCACATAAATATCTGAACTATCTCATTACTATAAGGCAGTGTTTCTCAGCCTTAGCAACTTTAAAATGTGGGATTTCAACTCCCAAAATCTCCTAGCAGCATGCTGGGTGAGGAATTCTGGAAATTGAACCATACATCTTAAAAGCTGCTAAGATTGAGAAACACTGCTCTAAAAAAACCAAGTTATCATTGTAAGTATGGATTCCAAACAAACCTGTTCTGTTTTGGTCCAAATGGCACGAGAAGACTTCCATACCTCTGGGTACATTTTTTAACGTATAACATTTTCCCAGCAAAAAATGCCAAAACACCAACAACTATAACGGAAAAGCAACAGAATCAGTAACCTTTGATGAATTTTTCTCAGATTTTTTTTTTTGTTCTGCATTGATTTGTAATATGGGAAATCTGCTTTAATGGTGTTCCATTGCTTGTCATTTTGAGAGTGAGTGTTAGAAATGCCTTGGGCTATTTGTCTTTTAATGTTAAATTTGGATACTTCTCACAATTAATGAACGGTGGCTGGAATTGGGTATGTCTAGTTTAATGTAGAGAAGGACGAGGAGGGACATGATAGCAGTGTTCCAATATCTCAGGGGCTGCCACAAAGAAGAGGGAGTCAAGCTATTCTCCAAGGCGTCTGAAGGCAGGACAAGAAGCAACGGATGGAAACTAATCAAGGAGAGAAGCAACTTAGAATTAAGGAGAAACTTCCTGACAGTTAGAACGATTAACCAGTGGAACAACCTGCCTCCAGAAGCTGTGAATGCTCCAACACTGGAAGTTTTTAAGAAGAGACTGGACAGCCATTTGTCTGAAATGGTATAGGGTTTCCTGCCTGAGCCGGGGGTTGGACTAGATGACCTCCAAGGTCCCTTCCAACTTTATCATCATCATCATTATCATTATTGTTGTTGTTGTTGTTGTTGTTGTTATTAATAACAGGGCTGGCTGAGAAATTCTGGGTGTTGAATTCCACAAGTCTTAAAATTGCCAGGTTTGAAGACCCCTATCCTACAACAATGATGGCATTACTGGAATCTTTATCCTATTTCCTGATTAGGCCTTTTTTGAAGAACTGATATGTGCATTCCCCACATGCTCTATGTTTGAGTGCAAATATAGGAGCAGTGTTCCTCCACTTCAGCAACTTTCAGACTTCAACTCCCAGAATTCCCCAGCCAGCCATAGTTATCTTCTAGTTTTCCAAGGTTGAGAAACACTGCATAAAAGAGATGTTCCTTTTACTCATTATACGTTAAACACTTGTCCTTTTTTCCTGCTGTAACTTCACAGTCTTTCAAAACTTACCCACTACTGTATTCAAAGAAGCAGTCTTGATAATCCCTAGAAAAAGAAATCATTTTTAAGAAGAGAGTTTTAGGCTCAGAGGAAATATGGACCAGGTTTGCGCATTTCATTAGAGAGAAATCTTGATCTGGTTCACGGATCAACAACTATGTTTGTATCATCAGGTTTTGTTAATTTCTGGCAAAAAACCTTCAATTGGATAAAAATGGGTTTGCTTAGTGACCGTCAAGAAAGGTCATAAAATCAGGGGCTGTCACATGGTGACTTGCTGAATGACAACAATAACTTACAACCATAATTCCATCCAATTAGATCATAAGTCAAGAACTAACTGTAAGCCACTTTAAAAAATCAAAATTGCTCTAAACCTAAATAAAAAAAAAATCAAACTAAACTAAAACCAACCTTGCTTGGTTAATACATTAAAAAAGTACATTTTACCTAGTTGCAACAGCTGTCACAATCAAAAATCAAGACATGAGAAATATTAACCACTTAAACACATTTATTAAGCTGGAAGTCCGACTGAAATGTGCACTTGTAAGAAAGAAAATAAAATAAAAGCCTAGATCAGGGGTAGGCAACGTTGGCTCTTTTATGACTCGTGGACTTCAACTCCCAGAATTCCTGAGCCAGCATGGCTCAGCTTGGAAACCTCTCCCTTTCCCCTCAGCATGGCTGGCTCAGGAATTCTGGGAGTTAAAGTCCACGAGTCATCAAAGAGCCAAGGTTGCCTACCCCTGGCCTAGATTGTTAGTGCCTAACATAATGAAACATTTTTAACAAAAAAGATAAAAGGAAATATTTCAAACCAACCTTACAATAATTCCTGTAGACCAGGGGTGTCAAACTGCCGGCCCGCAGGCCAGATGTGTCACGCCGAAACCATGCCTACCCCACTGCCGGCAATGGGGAAAAAATCACGATACGTCATGACACGTCACGTAACGTTGCAAGTTTGACACCCCCGCTATAGACAAACATGGAAGGAATGGTACTATTTTCCCACATGCTTTATTTTTCAGATTAAACATGAAAATGAAATAAAAAATTAAAAATCGCATATATTTTATTCCTGAAAAACTTCTTCTGCTTCCTCTACCTACTGAAGGCAATATTACAGCAGTTAAAAATCTTTTAAGTGATAGATTCACTGCAGAAGTCATTTTTTCACGACTGATATTAAAAAGTGCCTCTGAAAGATAGGTTTTCTCAATCATGGGAGAAAAACGCAGAGATTTCACACATTCTGCATATAAAATTTTTATGTGTCCGGCTTTTTACTGTTCCACTGTTATATAGATTAGGGATTTTCTCCAAGTACTTATTGCATGGGAATAGTAACTGATCGTTTTTGCAAAATTCACCACTTATTTTATTTAAAAAATCTACTTACCTTTCGTAATTAGTCCTTGAGTAATAAGCATACTTCCAAAGGATAGAGGAAGCGCTGTAAACAAACATTGCAACAAACAATTTCAGCCTGGGTCTTCATTCCCACAAGCCCCCCACTCCCAGTGAAGCACAGATAGAACTTTGTAATATCCTGGCCTTTTCTGAATCTGCTAATCATAGGCGCCCAGTTTATAAAACTAATGTAGGAAACTAATATTAGAAATTTTCATCTGGTTGTCTGCATCATGAAGGGAGAAACTGGTAAATATCTGAAAGCAATATCTCCCTCTAATTCAGTGTTACATCTGCTTCTAGTTCAGTGTTTCTAAACCTTAGCAACTTTTAGATGTGTGGACTTCATGCCAGCTGGGGAATTCTGGGAGTTTGAAGCCCACATGTCTTCAATTTCCCAAGGCTGAGAAACACTGCTCAACTTAGAAAAATGAAAAAGCAAAACCATCCAAATTTATCACCGTTATCATTGGGGATAGTAATTGCAGCTTCTTTTTTTGGAAACGAGTTAGATAAGACCCAGAGTCATCTTTTTTTTCCCTTTACCTTCTACAAATATGACCACAGACAGATCTGAAGCATTTCCTTCCAATTTGATTCTTTAATTTTTATGTTTGAACCAAGACTAGTCTTAGCTAAAGCCTGCTGAAACAAATCAACTTCAAACTTTAGTCAAGGAAAAAGAGTTTGTTTAAATAAATTACCTTTTAAAGTAAGAATAAACTATGGTTAATTAAAAATGGAAGGAAACATTTCCGATCTTGCGATTCCACCGGAGGTGTGAAAAAATAGGGGAGACCTGCGAGCACTTTTTCTGACTCACAAATGTAATTAACAGCATAAGCTTTTGTGGGTTGCAACTCATTTCATCAGATGTACAGAGAAGCTAGACTGATGTAGGATTTAAAGTGGGGTGAGGTGGTGGGAAGTGGGGTAGAACAGATTCCTTAAATCTAACATCATTGCTTGTAATGATAAAGACAATATGTCTCCAAATGCAGTCACTGAAAATATCATTATTGGAATGTAATCTTGGTTTGGGATTTAAATCCTGTGAAATATGGAAGGATACTCAGATTATCAGGGGTCGGGTATGGGAAGGAGACAGTGCTGGGAGACAGATGTTTATACAGGAATATGGATGTCGAGAAATTAAAAGACGCTTGCTCCTGGGGAGGAAAGCTATGGCAAATCTAGACAGCATACTAAAAAGCAGAGACATCACCCTGCCAACAAAAGTACGTATAGTCAAGGCCATGGTTTTCCCAGTTGCAATGTATGGCTGTGAAAGTTGGACCATAAGAAAGGCTGAACGCCAAAGAATTGAGGCCTTTGAACTATGGTGCTGGAGAAGACTCCTGCGAGTCCCCTGGACTGCAAGGCGATCAAACCGGTCAGTCCTAGAGGGATCAACCCCGACTGCTCTTTAGAAGGTCAAATCCTGAAGTTGAAACTCAAGTACTTTGGCCACCTAATGAGAAGGAAGGACTCACTGGAGAAGAGCCTAATGCTGGGAAAGATGGAGGGCAATAGAAGAAGGGGACGACAGAGAATGAGGTGGCTGGATGGAGTCACTGAAGCAGTAGGCGTGAGCTTAAATGGACTCCAGAAGATGGTAGAGGACAGGAAGGCCTGGAGGAACATGGTCCATGGGGTCACGATGGATCGGACATGACTTCGCAACTAACAACAACAATGGATGTGGAGAGGAAGAATAACTGCATGCATACCTGTATGTAATTAACATGGTTGAGTATAATAAACTAAAGTTACTATTCATCATATTTTGGGTTTTCAAATTATTTTCAGTGAGTAATTTTGGTTGTTTTAAAAAGTGCAAGGGTTATTTTAGGTATTTTTTATCGCCCGCAATTTAGAGTCTTACCAGATTGTAGCAGATATCTATGGAAGAAATAAATAAAATACATGTACATTTACAACCCCTGTCAAGTAACAAATATGGGCTTTGGAGCGAACATGTTGTCAGTTCCAAATATTAGTAATCCTCAGGTAGCCTTAACAATAGCAGAACAAAGAAATGTAGACAAAAATACAATTATATTTATTTTTGTATCTATAACAAAGGAATATACCTCTGTACCAGAAGCTTTCTTCTTTACATCGTTGACTGATATTTTCAATCTCTTCCACAGTAAGGATTCTTGGATGACTAAGTAAATTCTGGAAATAAAAAGCTAAATAAATAATAGTATGAGAACAGCATGTTGAACTACAAAGAATAAAATATTGAGGTTTTTTTCCTATGCCAAAAAAGAAAATTCTTGAATGTGTAGAACATTACGGTCTATAATTCAGTTGATCGCTTCTTCAGTTGAATATTATTAAAATCTTATAAAACAAGTCAATTAAAAAAGTTTGGGGGAAAAATACCTCAATTTAGAGTTAACATAATAATAATTTGTGATTGCAATTATGATTATATTGCTGCTAAAATACTGAATTACAATTGTAGGACTCCACATAGCAAGAGAGGTTGATCAACCTTTGACCCAGGGTAGAAATTAATCTCTGCAGAAAAGAAAAAAAACCAACCTGGGTCTTATTTTCTGTTGAAGAGAATTCGGTATTTACTGGAGTAGAATCCATGTTACTTCAGTGATTCCAGCAAATCTGAACACCCGAAAGGTGAGTGTCCTACAAGAAAAGAATTCACAAAATAATCAAGTGCATTTCAAAGACAACGTCCAATGTCCTTTTTACTATATGGTTAGTAGAATGCTGACTTTGAAGACCATCCAGAGGCTTCAATTGATCACACAGACAATGAAGAGCATGCCCGGACGGGGGACACCATATCACACCTCTGCTTTGAAAGCTGCACTGATCTCCAGTCTGCTTCCAGGTACCATTCAAGGTGCATGTTGCTACCTGGCATGCAACCTAGTTACTTGTGGGACCACCTGTCTCCCATACAATGGATGGAAGCAATGGATGGAAACTAACCAAAGAGAGAAGCAACCTAGAACTAAGGAGAAACTTCCTGACAGTTAGAACAATTAACCAGTGGACCAACCTGCCTCCAGAAGCGGTGAATGTTCCAACACTGGAAGTTTTTAAGAAGACACTGGACAGCCATTTGTCCGAAATGGTGTAGGGTTACCTGCCTGAGCAGGGGGTTGGACTTGATGACCTCCAAGGTCCCTTCCAACATTGCTGTTGTTGTTGTTGTTGTTGTTGTTGTTGTTGTTGTTGTTGTTGTTGTTATTATTATTATTATTATTATTATTATTATTATTATTATTATTATTATTCTACCTGCCTGGCAGATTCCATCTTGTACAGTTGGCAGGACCTGGGTCCTCGGATTAAATAATGCCATCTATTCTATTCTATTCTATTCTATTCTATTCTATTCTATTCTATTCTATTCTATTCTATTCTATTCTACTCTACTCTACTCTACTCTATCTTATTCTATATTCTCTTCTACTCTACTCTATTGTATTCTTATTCTGAAATAAGATTGCCCTCAAGACAAAAACCATCCGGGTCTGATGGCAGGTGCAGCCATCCTGGACTCAGGAGAACCTCTGGGGGGAGAGGCAGGAATCCAGGCCCCCAGCTACCACCAAATGTTCTTCTTAGAAAGCCATAGGCGCCATTTAAGCAAATCATGTTGTTGTTCACGCCACCAGATGTCTCATGCCTTTTTTTTTTTTTTTGTGCTGCAACACATTCACAAGCCAAAGCTCTTGCAATCGTTCCTGTACCTGATTTTAACACAACAGCTGTGTTCCTCAACCTTGGCAACTTTTAAGGCATGCTCTACAGCAGGGGTCCTCGACCTTGGCCACTTTTTAAGACTTGTGGACTTCAACTCCCAGAATTCAGGGAGGAATTCTGGGAGTTGAAGTCCACAAGTCTTAAAAGTGGCCAAGGTCGAGGACCCCTGCTCTACAGCAGAGGAGGGGAAACGGTGGCTCCTTTATGACTTGTGGACTTCAACTCCCAGAATTCCTCAGCCAGCAGGCTCAGCAGGGATGGCTGGCTCAGGAATTCTGGGAGTTGAAGTCCACAAGTCACAAAAGGGCTCTCGTTCCCCAGCCCTGCTCCACAGGGATATATAATCATACGTCCTATATATTGGCACGTTGGGAATAAGCAGGTGCCACTCTCCAGGCGTGCAACGATGGCTCTCTCTCCACTCAAGCCTAGTCCTCGCCTCAAAGGAGGCGAGCAGGAAGGACGCTCTAGGAACAGGCTTACCCAGGCGGCCGGGTCAATCCCCTCGCCGTGTCTCTCCCGGCTCCCCCACCTTCCTTCCGGGCGCCCGCCAGCTTCTCCCCGCCTCCTCCGCCCCCACCGCTCGGGGTCGGCTGGACCCGCAGCAGACCTCTGGAAAAGGGGCGTGTTTGCTACTAGGCCAGGCCCCGCCCTGCTCGTAGGGCGCGCGAGGGCGGGGCCGGAGAAGAAGCTTCGTCTCTCGGATTGGTTGAGAGGGTCGCTTGCAGCCTCTCTTTGTGAAAGGGCGGTGGGGATTGGCGGAGGAAGAGTAGAGCGGGCTGAGGGAGTCGGATTGCAGGTGAAAATCTGCAGCTACCCATAGGACTTGCAGCAGGTCTTGAGCATGGGGTTGGACTAGAAGACCTCCAAGGTCCCTTCCAACTCTGATGGTCTGTGTTCTAGATCTAACTCAGGGGTGGGGAAACAATGGCCCCGTTTTTATGACTTGTGGACTTCAACTCCCAGAATTCCTGAGCTAGCCTTTCCTGCTGAGCCAGCTATTCCTGCTGACTCAGGAATTCTGGGAGTTGAAGTCCACAAGTCATAAAAACGGGGCCATTGTTTCCCCGCCTCTGCTGTAGAGCATATCTTAAAGCAGGGGTCTTCAAACTTGGCCCTTTTAAGACTTGTAGATTGCAGATATTTTTGTTGGTTATTATGGAAGATTTGGATACAAAAGAAATGGATTTGATGTTGAATTTGATAACTGCTGCAAGATTGCTAGTAGCTCAATGTTGGAAAACGGCACGTTTGCACACTATAGAAGAATGGTCACTTAAAGTCTCAAATTTAGCAGAAATGGCCAAGATTTCCGCTTATGTGAAGGATTACTCACAAGAAAGATATATTTCGGTTTGGAGAAGATGGATAGATTATATTGAGAGTAAATATGGTACTAAAAAAATTCATTTGGTTTTTGAGTAAATTTTAGAGTAGTTTATATGTTATAATAGCTTACTTATTTTTATTTATAATCATTAATATGATGTTATAATTATTGTGTTCAATATTAGTATATTTGTTTAAAAGAGGATTAAAGGATGTTACAGATTTATTATTCTAATAGTTGATTAATGTTAGATAGAGTATGGTTATTGTATTGTTAACCCTGTGATTGGCTCTGGGAAGTGGGGGGGAGGGAGGGGGAGGGCAACGGTGGGTTTTGGGGAGGGGGGAATTATATCTGTAAAACTTTTATAAAATTTTCAATTAAAAAAAAAAAAGACTTGTGGATTTCAACTCCCAGAATTCCTCAGCCATCGTGGCTGGTTGAGGAATTCTGGGAATTGAAGTCCACAGGTCTTAAAAGTTGCTAGGTTTTTAGACCCCCCCTGTCTTAAAGCCCCTTGTGGACTTCAACTTCCAGAGTTCCTGAGACAGCCGTGCTGAGTCAGGAATTCTGGGAGTTGAAGTCCACAAGTTATAAAGGGCCCATCATTCCCCACCTCTAACCTCTCACATTTGGGATAGGTTTACCGTACAGATAGTCCTCGGCTTATGACCACAACTGAGCCCAAAATTTCTGATGTGAAGTGAGGCATTTGTGAAGTGAGTTTTGCCCCATTTTACAACCTTTCTTGCCTCAGCTGTTAAATGAATCGCTGCAATTGTTAGTAACGTGGTTGTGACGCGAGTCTGGCTTCCGGATTGACTTTGCTTGTCTCAAGGTTGCAAAAGGGGATCACGTGACCCCGGGACACTGCAACCGTCATGACTACGAGTCAGTTGCCAAGAGTCTGAATTTTGATTCCACGACCATGGGGATGCTGCCATGGTCGTAAGTGTGAAAAATGGTCATAAGTCACTTTTTTTCAATGCTATTGTAACTTTGAATCATCACTAAATGAGGCTCATCCTAGTTTCCTCATTCATGCTTTAATCTGCAGTCATTAGACCCCACATTGAACCCCAAACAAAGTGGGGGGTAAAATTATCAGAACGGTGACTGTGCAGTGTGGCATTCATGCAAAAGGGACAAGGCTTTGATCATGTCTCATAGGTCCCATCTTGACTTTCTTGACTTCTCTCTCTCTCCCCTCTGTGGATAACTCCAGAGCTGCTTCAAAGTGTGTTGTATTTTTCTGCACAGTTAGGTAACCTCTAACCCTGGCTTGTTGCTGGTGGAGAGTTGAAGCCCAACACCTCTGGAGCACATCTGTGTTTAGGAATGCTCTCAAGAGCCTGTAACTCGACCCCCCCAGAAAATGATTCTAATTTGGGAATTAAATTGCAGTGGAAATTCCAGTCATTCTGCATATTTGGCATTTGAAAGAAATGGTGTTTTTTTAAAATGATTAAATTTCAAGCACCAGTGTTCTCAAACATTTAGCCTTATTGCCAAACTACACACCTGACGTTGACTTTCACTCATAAAAGCCAAATTGGCAGAACCACCTCGTCAGCTGTAATGTTATTTTTAATTACAGTCATGAGGTAAATAAGTGCTAATGTTTTAAATAAGTTTTCTCTTGAATTTAAGGGTGCTTAAATACAACAGGCCTATATTGTTAGTTGTGAAGTCATGTCCGACCCATCGCGACCCCACAGACCACGTTCCTCCAGGCCTTCCTGTCCTCTACCATCTTCTGGAGTCCATTAAAGCTCATGCCTACTGCTTCAGTGACTCCATCCAGCCACCTCATTCTCTGTCGTCCCCTTCTTCTATTGCCCTCAATCTTTCCCAGCATTAGGCTCTTCTCCAGGGAGTCCTTCCTTCTCATTAGGTGGCCAAAGTATTTGATATATTAGTTGTACTGAATACACGTAATCCTCAACTTACGACCACAATTGAGCCCAAGAGGTCTGTTGCTAAGTGAGACATTTGTTAAGTTTTATGACTACCTTGCCACCGTTAAGTGAAGCACTGCAGTTAAGTTGTTAAGTGAATCTGGCTTCCCCATTGACTTTGTTTGTCAGAAGGTCCCAAAAGGTCATCACATGACCTTGGGACATTGCAACTGTCATAAATACGAGTCAGGTGTCAAGTGTCTGGGTCAGGATAATAATTTAATAACTAAAGAGCTTATGTAAAGAGGTAATGTAAGGGAGATGATGCAATAATAGGAACGACTCAGCAGGTATGTGTATCCCTTTAAGAGCCTGAGTATAAAAGGGAAGCTTTTTGCTGGAGTTTTTCTCTCTCATCCGTTTGACTGCTGTAACTGCTGTCTATTGGAGTTTGCTGAATTATCACGCGCATGTATTTTATTTCTAGTGTGCATTTGTAGATATAGTGTAATATAAACCACTATTTAAATACAAACCACTGTGTACTGTATTTACTCCTGGGTTTCCTCGGCGCAATAAGACTGTGCATGCTCTGACAGTGTGGATTTTGATCACATGACCCAGGGGATGCTGCAATGGTCATAAGTGTGAAAAATGGTCATAATTCACTTTTTTACTGGCACTATAACTGAATGGTCCCCGGAACCTGATTGACATCCTTCTCGGTCCTAATACTGACATATGTCCATAGGAAGTGAAAGGGGGGGTGGGAAGTCCACCCCAGAACAGAACTACAAACATGCAACAACTTGGAATCTGTTTCCATAGGCATCTAACTGTGAAAAAAGAATGGTTCTCCCCTCATGTAATGGCCTTTTTTGTTTTTCTTTTCATAAGCACAGTAAGAGGGGTTGGTCCGTTTGGCTTACAAACATGGTAGGCAGCCATTGCTGGCAATCTTCTTGCTGTTTTTCCAGTGTGCGTGTGGCTCCACACTGGAAAGGCCGATCTACTTGGATGAAGTCACAGGCTGAGTTGTTTAAGGTTACAGTATTTGTATCCTCGGAGAGGTAAAAAATCAAAAAGCTGGAAGTTTTTACATGCCAAACATGTCCTCTGTTGCTAAGCATTTCATTTGCTATTAGAATAACAGTTATTTCACATTAGCTTGAGGATTGAAGACGTTGCTGCAGCAAATGATAGCTGCTGTGCTGGAGCAGAGTGGAAGACTATGAAGACTGCTAAAAAGCTCAGTCCTTTGTTTCAAGCAGCTAGCCTTAAACTATTATTATTTGAATTATCCAATCGCAACTGATTGCAAAATCATTTGGGACACTGCATGGGACCCCTCTAACATACAATCATGTTAATTATATATATTATTAATTGTGTGTATAATATTCATTTTAAAAATAGATTGATGATAGTCTCAGAAGAGTCAATCATCCAACTGAAACGATTTCAGAGAAATATTAACACATTTTGTTGTTTCAATATCCTTAGACTAGAGCAGTGATGGCGAACCTTTTAGAGACCGAGTGCCCAAACTGAAACCCAAAACCCACTTATTTATCGCCAGGTGCCAGGTGGGCATGGCCCACTGGGTGGGCATGGCCGTGGTCATGGCAGACTGGTTGGGTGTGGCCAAGGTGGGCATGGTCACCTCGATGTTGCTCGTGGGAAGGATGCCTGTGGGGGCTGGGCAAGGTTGGGGGAGATCCAGGGGGTCTCTTGCAGGTTGGGCGGTGGGCAGGAGGCTCGTCCTGCGGGTTGAGGCGAGGCAAGGCGAGATAGGGTGGGGGTGCCATTGTCGCAGGGCAAGGTGAGGCAGGGGCCGGGGCGGCTGCTGCCTGACACTATCGGCCCCCGCACACAGAGGCCAGCGAGCGCATGAGGGCCCCTCGACCGGCGCATTCTGGGGCTCCGCAGTCCGCCACCAGCATTTCAGAGAAGCCGCCTCTGAGCTGGACGGACGGCCGACAGCTGAGGAGGCGATGCAGTGGGTTGTGCCCGGGAAAAGGAGAGCATGCGAGGCCAGGAGGGATGGGATGGGGGGGAGGGAAACCAGCCATGCTGGGATGCATCCGACCACGTGGGACCTCGGCGAGTTAGCGGGCAGCTGGTTGAAGAGGGACGGTTGCCATCTTCGGGGCATGGTGCGCATGCCCACAGAGAGGGCTCTGAGTGCTGCCTNTCATAGGTCCCATCTTGACTTTCTTGACTTCTCTCTCTCTCCCCTCTGTGGATAACTCCAGAGCTGCTTCAAAGTGTGTTGTATTTTTCTGCACAGTTAGGTAACCTCTAACCCTGGCTT